AATGGGCTAGTATTGGGTTGGTAAACCCTAATTAGGGTTTGGAAAACCCTAATTGTAGGAATCGTTTGAGACACACACGAGAATTAATTATTAAACCTAAAATAATAATTAATAATCATTGGCAAACTAGCTTAAGGCAATAATGGACTTAATGGATTAAGTCCTTAATGGGTTAAGTAAGAAACACTTAACCCTAATCATCATTTCATGTGAAAGCCCTAATCTCATTTGGGCCTTGAATTGGGCCTTCCTAGTGGGATTTGGTGATTGAACTATTGATGGGTTGTCCAAGAATAAGTTAATGGACCAAAATAAGTAGATGAGCTTTAGGATAAGACCCATGTGAGGACTTGGGCCCAATTTGGAAAATTGGGCCATAATTGAGCCTTTATGACTATGTGATAATGGGCCATGGGAATTGGATTGGAATAATCGAATGGGCCTTAAGGAAAGACCATGTAGAGGTCTGGGCCCAATTTGGAAAATTGGGCCATATGTTGGGCTTTGGCCCATTATTTTACTTTTGGGCTTTTGTAGTGTGAGTTGGACCTTGGGCTTGGAACCCAATTATTAATTGGGTATTGTTTGATGTTGACAGTTTGGGAATCTGTCAACCAGCAGCTGGAGTTTTATCTGCGGGACTGCAGCAACGTCAGGTGAGTTATCCTCACTATACAAAGGGGTCCAAGGCACCAAGGCCGGCCCATTGGATATGTTATCCTAGTAGTGGTTATGTCGAGTACGAGTTAGCGTTGCATGCTAGTGGTTATGTCAGTTAGGTAGATCTGTAGGACTACCTGTGTGGTTATATGAATATTTGCATGCTCAGTAGTTATGTTATATGTTGATATGTTCTGTGGGACGGGTTGAGGTGATACTGCTCCGTGCGGTAACCAACAAACCCGAGAGTATTCCAGATATGAGCTGAGGGCCCGGTAGGCATTCCAGACTCATACTGAGGACTCGGGAGTATTCCAGATATGAGTTGAAGGCCCGGTAGGCATTCCAGACTCATACTGAGGACTTAGGAGCATTCCAGATACGATCTGAGGGCCCAGAAGGCATTCCAGACTCGTGCTGAGGGCTCGATGGTATTACAGATACGAGCTGAGGGCCTGGTAGTCATTCCAGACTTGTACTGAGGGCCCAGGGGTAATCCAGCTTGTAAAGCTGTGGACCCATTGCATGCTGTTCAGTTTGTTATGATATGATTATGTGGACTGTATGTGTATCGGTATTTTGGGGGTAACTCACTAAGCTTTCGGGCTTACAGTTTCAGTTTATTGTTTCAGGTACATCAGGGGATCGCGGCAAGGCGAAGGCATGATCGTACAGGTCCTCATATTATGTTTATGTTTCTGGGAATACTCTGATAAATAATATTTTGAAAACAAAGTTGTAATGTTTTGATGAACTTGACATGTTTTAAAAGTTTAAATTGGTTTGAAATTTTTGGGTGTTACATGATTCGTTTCCAGTCAGTTTATATAGTTAATTTAGTTATTACTTGAGATTTAATAATAAAACCCTTCTTTTATTGCTTTCTTTTGTTTGGTATAACCTATAATAAAAAAGTATAATATTAATTCACAATTGTTCCGATTGAGTTCGACACCCTTGCTCATCAAAACTATACTATACTCGACCAGGTTCATTGCCTGTACGGTGTGGTTTAGATGCGATAGACTAGGAATTATAAATAAAAAACTAGTGCATTAAAAATACACATCCTTATCTAAATGGTTAACTTATCAAAAAGGATACCCACAAATGAGATGTTACAATGCAATTTTTGTGGGGGAGTGGTCTAGACCTAATCTAAAAATTCTCGCTAGAATCCCAAGGTGTTTTCACATAACTTCAGGCTTAAAAGTAAACTTTCACAAATCTAAAGTTTTTGGAGTCGGGGCTTCATAAAATGCAACAAACGAGTGAGCTAATCTGTTGGGATGTGAGACTGGAATTCTACCATTCAATTACCTAGGGGTGCAGTTGGAGCTAATATGAACGTTATAAAGAGCTGGGATCCTATTGTGGATAGATTTAAATCAAAACTTTCAACATGGAAGGCCAAAACAATATCGTTCGGAGGGAGACTCACACATATCCAATCGGTATTGGGTAATCTACCCACCTAATATCTCTCCTTTTTTAAAGCTCCCCGCGGTGTGATTAATTCTCTTGATAAGATTAGAAGAAGCTTTCTTAGGGGGGGGGGGGGGATGCGAAGAAAAATAGATGATTAAATGGGTCTCATGGAATAAGGTTACAACACCTAAAAAGAAAGGTGGTCTAGGTGTGGGATCACTGCAATTACTTAATATGGCTTTGTTGTTAAATGGTGGTGGAGGAGCAAGATCGATAATACATTGCTATAGGTCCAACTGATCACATCTATTCATAATATGAGGGATAAACTAGCAGACTACTTATCAAAAAAAGCAATTCCCGGGGTTTGGAAGAATATCGTAGGGGTAAAATCAGAACTAGAGACTAATGGTTTGCATTTCAAAGATATCATACATAAGACAATTAGCTCGGGTATGCCAAAATTATTTTTCGCAACATGAGTAGGTTAATGGAGGCAAATTAAAAGACCATGTCGTGGATTATATTTGATTTAAGGAAAAAATGTTTTGTGGCTGAAAGAATCCTTGTGATGTAATTGGAGCTGGTCTGTCATAGGAGTTGCCTAACATCATGGCTGTTATAGGGTTCTTCACCCCATTTACTGCTTGTGATAGTTGGAGATGCGGGCTTGACTCTAGTGGCACTTTCACATATGGTGTAGTGTGTGCTAAAATGACACCTTTCAATTCTAGTTTTCCTTTTAATTTCATAGAGTGGCTTAAGGTATCCCCATTAAAAGTTTTAACATTCGTATGGAGGGCTAAGATGGGCAGGATTCCCTCCTCTTTGGCCTTATGTCAACGTGGTGTGAATGTAGCCTCATTATCCTGTGGACATTGTAACGGGGAAAGTGAGTGTGCTGATCACATTTTGACTAGATGCAACTTTGCGAATACTACATGGAAATGGATTTTTAGGTGGTGTGAAATTGAAAATATAGCATTCAATTCAGTAGATGAATTGCTCAAATTTACTTCTACCTAGGGAAGTTGCCCAAAGAGAAAGAAGATGTCGACCTTAATCTGCTATGGGATGTTATGGATGGTTTGGAAGGTGACAAATGAGAGGGTGTTTAAATAGCACATTACATCACCAACACTGGTGTCGGATAACATCAAGTCTTTGGTATTCGTGCGGTTGAAACATAAGGGGGGGGGGGGGGGGGGGTAATAAGGGAATCAAATAGGTGGAGTGGATTATTTCTCCATTTTTATGCTTGTAATTGTTTTCTCAATTTTCATTTATGTATTGTTGCTCTCATGCGGGCTAGTTTCTTGCTAGTCTTGGTTTTTTCTATTAATATATTTGTCGTTTCCAAAAAAAATGCCTCATATGAAGTTGACCAAGTTTAGACGGTTTATTTTATATATAGTTAATGTAATATATTTAATTGTAAAAGTTATATAACGAAAAAATATTTATTATTGTTAATATAACAATTTATGCTCTTGTAACAATTTGGATAAACCTTGAATGTAATCATTTAGGTGCTGTTTGTTTTTTCTGGGGCAAAATGTCTACAGTCTGCGGACCACATCTGTAGACCTCTAAAGTAGAAGAGGTGGACCAAACGTCTGCAGTCTGAATTAAGAAGACTGTTTGTTTTTTTAACATCTGCAGACTACTAAAATAAACTGGTTTTTTTTAACTTCAAAGTGGTTTTTTAATATTTTAGTGACTTTATTATAAATAATTAACAAATCTAGATCAACTTTTATGTATTATTGTATAAAAAATAAAAATAAAATGGTACAGATTAACGTATATATTTGATAAAACAATAATTTTGGTCGTAAAGTTATACCTAAACGTTGTAATTAGGGATCAATAAATTTAATACATAAAATGGATGGAAATAAACTTCGATTTTAAAATGAATTTTTTCATTTTACTTTTTCAATTAAACCAATTAAAAACGTACCATAAATATTTTTCCCAAGAAATTGATGATACTGCATTAAATAATGTTTTATAAATTTTGGCACAAAAAATATAAGACAATATTATGATTTTTTTTTCATATTTATATAAACAGCTTCAACGACCGATATTATAATAAATCTTTATTTATAGATTTGTCAAAAAGATCATGTTTGTGTCATCGAACATTTTTTCTTAAAGTATTGTAACTTTTTTTTCCAAATTGTTTATCATTAATAAAGTTGGAATAAATATAAGTTAAAAAAAAACAAAGATATATTTGTTTATCATTAATAAAGTTGGAATAAATATAAGTTAAAAAACAAAACAAAGATATATGTGTTTATCATTAATAAAGTTTGAATAAATATAAGTTAAAAAAAACAAAAAAAAACAAAGATATATATGTGTTTTTTTTAGGTTAGAAGATGTCTGAAGAGGTTAGAAGACTATGATCCACATCTGCGCCAAGAAGAGGACGCACAGACCTTTTTAGGTCTGTAGTCTTCGAAAAAACAAACAGTCTTCGAAAAAACAAACAGTCTGCGAAGGCTGATGTCTGCGCGTGGTCTGTGTGGCACAGACAGAAAAGACCAAGAAGATCTGCAGACAAAAATCAAACAACATCTTAGATATACCTTAAATAAGGAGTTTCAACCAACTCAATTTTATTTATGATCAAATTATATTATTTATTAGTTTAATCCGTTAAAAAAATAATAAATACTGTAGCAACTTAAACCAACTTATTTGATTTAAATGAGTGCAACCTGACACCTATATAGATGCTTATAAATATCACCAAACAGAATTTTACTAATATGTTTAGAAAGAAGACGTCAAGAACAAATATATATGAGGTTATGTGTCGATAAATACCATCCTTCTCTCCAATTAAAATACTGTACAGCTTTATTTCCCATCAGACGAGACCCACAAATGAAAATGTATAATATGCAAAGTTGAAACTTGAAAGCGACAATAAATAAAAATTATTGATGAGAATTGGATAACATTCTTGGATTTATAGAAGGAAAGATCATTAGATTTCTTGCTTTCTACCACTTCTTTTGAGACTATAAGCTTTCTTTTGTTGAAACAATGGAGGGGCATCGAAGGGTGGTTTGTGGTGCAACTCAAACAATCGGTTTGCTTGCATTCATCTACTTGTTTTACACTCAATCTTCTGCATTCAACCCCATCAAATTTTGCTTCGGTATGTTTTAGTTTTTGAGTTTTATCTAAATTTCGTATATGAGATTTCCTTGTAGATATATACTAAGAGATCTGTTTGAAGTTTTGTGTATCTTTTAGGAAATGGAAATTTGTCTGCTACGTTAATGGATGGAGTTGGCGTTCTTGAAGATGACTATCAACCATTTCTTAAATCCCTTGTAGGTTAGTTCTCATTCGTGCCTCTTACTCACTCACACACCTCACAAACCACCGCCGCCACCACCACCATCTGCCACCACCACCATCTGATCACCACCACCATGTTTAAAAATGTGGTATATATATATATATATATATATATATATATATATATATATATATATATATATATATATAGCATACGACAAGAAGTCGAGAACTATAAAAATTGGATACTAAATACAGTAAACTCTAAAAGACAAATATTTGCCAGCAAATAAATGGATTTATGTGACCTACTGCTTTTTACATTACATCGTGTAAGCATCTAGTAAATAGAAACTCATGGGTAAAAAGATGGGAAATAGTTGGTTAGTTGTGTTTGTGTGTGCAATAACTAAAAGGGTTGTTTCAGATGTTTTTTTTGTGTTAATTAAATAGCACTACGTTTTCTTTAGTTACAACTATGCATTTACAATGCTCCTTAAACTAAAATCGTACCAATAATTGCAATTATATGACTAATAAAATTGAATCACATATTTGTTTGTGTTGAAACACAGGAGATTATGATCTACGAAATCTTGACACGAGTGGCTTCGCTTGTGATGCTACACTTCACCCATTGGTTTGTGTAGCAATTAATCACGTAAAGATAGATATCAAAACCATGGAAATTTATACGTCTACTCGATTCAATTCGACTAATTCTACCGATTTTTTGGTTAAAGAGGAGGAAAAAATTGTACAAGTGCGTCCATATGCATGGCACCAATCTGATCTCTTGAAAAATGTAACTCCGGTCAAGTTCCTCCGTGAACCACTACAAACTCCGGCAAGATATTGTGAATACAACCATAAAGTTCCAGCCGTTGTCTTCTCATCCGGTGTCTTCGCTGGAAACATATTTCATGAATTCAATGAAATCATAATCCCATTATTCATCACTTCTCGACTATTCAAATCACGAGTTCAGTTCATTTTCGTTGATTACAACCCTTATTTGGTAGAGAAGTTTAAACGGATTTTCACGAGCTTATCGCAATACGATGTCTTGAATCCAATGGTGAACAAGAGCATTCATTGCTTTCCCGGAGCTGTGGTTGGTCTCAAGTTCCATAACTTTTTAGCCATAAATTCGTCTGAAGTTCCCAAAGGGAACTCCATATTAGAATTCAGAACTTTCCTCAGAGCAACGTATGGTTTGACGAGCATGAATGTTTCCGAAACGGCTTCTGCAACACCGAAGTTGCTTCTTGTGTCTCGCCGGAAAACAAGGTCGTTTACCAACGAAGATGAACTGGTGGACATGATGGAAGAATTAGGGTTTGAGGTAGTGGTGGTGAGGAGTAACAAAAAAATGTCAAACTTGGATAAATTTGCAAAGCTGGTGAGCACATGCAGTGTTCTCGTCGGAGCTCACGGCGCCGGGTTAACAAACCTGATGTTTTTGCCGGCGGGGGCGGTGGTGGTGCAGGTGGTGCCACTAGGGTTGGAGTGGCCATCGACGGTTTATTATGGTGAGCCGGCATCCCGTATGGGGTTGCATTACTTGGATTATAAGATTGGACCGGAGGAGAGTTCGCTTATTGACTCATATCCACGTGATGACCCGGTTATTTCGGATCCAGGATCCGTATTCGCTAAAGGGTATAATGCTGGAAAGGAAATGTATTTAGATAGACAGAATTTAAGGGTTGATGTGAATAGGTTTAAGGATACTCTTATTGAAGCACTTAGATTACTCGGACAAACAACCCCTTCAGCCAAACGATGACGCTTTTAGAGGAGTAATTTTGTGGGTTATTTTTTTATATTCTATTTAAATTGAAATCTGGTATTCATAAATATATAATATTTTGTTTTATACATTTTTTCCTAATTGTAATACTTTTCGGACCTTTGGTGTAGTCTTTATCTCTTGTTCAATAAACACAAGCCCGTCCTAATGTGGATATAACAAGGGCAATCCTTCATGGCCCAATAATCGTAGGGGCCTATAAATATTATTGAAAGTCTAATATATTATATAAAATCATTAATTGTAATATGTGATGGTTAATATTAACAAAATTATCCATCAATTACCATCATCTTGGAGAAGGTAACGTAAGACAAATTTTGTTAGCTCATAAAGAAATCATACATTAGTTTCTGACGCTAAATACGTTCCAAAAAAGAAAACCTCATTATAATAAAGGCCAAAATTACATCTTTTGCAATTAGATTGCTATCATTTCGAAAAAAGAACCGTCAATCTATATATTGGAAGAAACAATGGTCTTTATATAAAAGATTAACCCTATATAGTCGATCTGCCATCGCAATGGACATTATGGACTATATATATCACTAGAAATTTTTTTCAGCATTTTCTTTACTAATTCGGCCGATTGGTATGTGATGATGCAAAATCAATGAGTAATCATAAAACCACAATCTATGAAGCCGAGTTGTACAAAAGAACAAGGATAAGCTTCCATCAGAGTGGTAAGTGTTGAAATCTGTAACATCTTTATTTTGAGCTTAAAATCTTTTGGCTATTTTAGTAAAAAATTATATATTTGAAAAAAGAATAAAGAAATGAATAACTAAAATAGAGATTTATGTTATTAAATAAATACTTGTTAAGGAAAATAAAAACGATTTATAATTTGAGAAATTACATAGATTCTAAATAGAAAAATGTGAGGAGGACTAGAAGTGACAAATTGACCAAACGTGGTTTAACTAACATTAACCTAGTTTTTTGTTTTTTTTAACGGTTGGTTAGTTGTTAGAACTTGGTATCGCCAAGTTAATAGAAATCGCTAACGTCCGGATTAGAACCTAAGACCTTTAACCTAAAAGGCAAAACATCTAACAAATGAGTTAGTCCCACATTGACAACATTGACCTAGTTAAAGGACTAATTTTTTAAATTTATGATGGATTAGGACTTAAGCTTATCATTTGGGAGTTTAGTTGAAAGTTTATAGCAATGATGGTATAACTTGAAAATAAGAAACTACAGGGCTATTGTTGCCCGTTAATCATAGATATAAGGTTATACGGAGTGGCTAGGAGGTTTTTATGCATTGAAGATGGCCACATCAGCCATTTATCCCCTCCACTAGTTTCTTACAAGTCTTAGGAAATGGTAGGGAAGAAGTGAGGAAAGGAAAAGAAGAGAGAGATAGAGAGAGAGAGAGGGAAGAAGGAAAGAGATTGTGAAGAGACGTGAGTTGGCTACTAGAGGTCGTATTTACATAATATGGGGGTGTGTTGAAAAGAAACTTATGTGTGAGTTTTGTTGCCAAATAGGATTACGCGTCACTTTTATTACCCATTCCACATAGCATGCAAGCAAGTAGCTAGTTCTCCACTAACTTTACATCTTCATTTCCTTCATGTTAGGATTTTAATTCACAAAGTTGAATCTTGAAATGGTCCATATAAAAAGGGTCTAAACGAGAAAAGTTTTGTATAGGGCCATGTTTGAGATAGTAGGCAACACGGGCCACCACCTATGACCCATATTTAAAGGGGTCCCAAAAGATTCAGTCTTATGTAGTAGCAACCATGTATAAAGCATTTTTTCCTATTTCTCAAGCCCAAAAATTTTCACCAATGTATTTAACAACTTTGTGAACAAAGAAGGCAATCAACAGAAGTCAAAAATTATGAAGAACGTAGGAACCACACCAACATAGGCTAATCAAAAAGAAAATTGGAAATCGAATTGTCCTTATGATCCTATAGAAACATCAAGCAAGAGATGGTGGACCAACATCCAGTGATAGGTTCCACCAAATATAAATACATAATTTTTTGTTCTTAATGGTTGTCCTCGGAATTCTTTTCTTAGTTTTTATTTTTACATATCCATTTTGAATTAATAGACTATCTAGGGTTCAATTATTGGATAGATTTAATCATTTAGATCGTTCAATGTCTTTACGCATTAAATTTCATTTTTTTCCTCTTTTTATATTCATATGTAATTTTTATCATAACATGTCATTGTTATATGGTGGGGTTTGCAAAGTAGTTTCAAATTTCATTAAAATTTTAGATACGACAATAGAAAAATGAAATTATGGTAGTTGTTTCAATTCATACCATTTTTTGGATTCACTTTATAAGAACATGATAAAAATTATTCTTTTAACATGTAACATCCTCATTTTCACTTTATAATCTAGACTAAACTGCACAAATGGTCCATGTGGTTTGTTCAAAATTGCCACTTTGGTCCAAAAAACTTTGGACTAACACCAGAGATCCAAAGTTTTCATTTTGTTGCTTGTTTGGTCCAATCTGTTTTGATTTTTTTCAAAATGACGGATTTGCCCCTGTTAATATGATTTTCTTTTTTTCTTAATTGTTTTCTGATTTTCAGATTTAAAAAAAATAAAAAATAAAAAAAAAAAATAAAAAAATAAATCTCTCTCTCTCTCTCTCTCTCTCTCTCTCTCTCTCTCTCTCTCTCTCTCTCTCTCGTTGGTTGAAAAGAGATTAACGGGAGGAACCTCAATCAAAGAAGCTCACGAAAAAGATGCATCTTCTCAATCGGAAATTCACCATAAAGCTCTTGCCCCAAATCCAACTTCATCTATGAAATCCACCTTCAAGATCTGTGCATCGATTGTGTCAACTGTGCCCGCCAGAAATCGCTCGTCCAGAATCCACCACTGTCGTCGTCATCCTTTATCTCCTTTGCTCTGACGACGACTTCGCCGTTACAAACCCTACATCGATGAACACGACAACAAACCCGACTCAGTTCGTCTCTCTTTATCAGTTCTTTCTTCACCAGTCGCTCCCTTGTTGGTGGTGGTTTCGAGTTGCTAGGGTTTGCAGCGTCTCGTTTCTTCTTTAGATCTCTTAGCAGATTTCATACACTCAAATGTGACTCAACGAAGGCGAAGAAGGTGAAGGCAGAAAAACCTTTTCTCTATTGTGGTGTTTGTGTGTGTGTTTAATGCTTTTCAGATCTGTTGTGGTGTTTGTGTGTGTGTTTAATGCTTTTCACATCGTCTTCTGTATCCTATTTGATCTTCCCCCATAATCCATAATCTTGATTCTTATTAGGATCCGGAAAAGGCCTGGTGAGTTTACCATCATCAGTAAGAATCAGGGAAGTGATGGCAACATGTTTTGAACTGATGCAACCCATTTAGATTCACCCCCAAAACCCATCAACGAATTGATAGATTTTGGGGAGACCCGGATGGACCCGACAAAGGAAGAAATCTGATTCCATGGTTTATGGTTTCAGGTGAAGCAATTGGTGGTGTAGTGTGGGAGATCAATGGTTTTGAGGAACGGATGAGCGGGAGCCGTATCTTTGGAGGTTCACCAAAAGAAGCTTGACATGAGATCTGGGTTTTGTTGGAAAAAGCTTGAAATGAGATCTGGTGTTGTTCTAGTTCTGATGGCAAATTCTTGTATTTTGATGTTCTTGATGAATTTTTGGGGAAGAAACTTAAAGAGCTTTTGTAAAGGGAAAGTAATGAAGAAGGAATGGGCATTAACGAGAGAGAGAGAGAGAGAGAGAGAGATGAGATTTAATTTTATTTTTTTTAAATCTGAAAATCAGAAAAACAATTAAGAAAAAAAGAGAAAATCATATTAACAGGGGCAAATCCGTCATTTTGAAAAAAATCAAAACAGATTGGACCAAACAAGCAACAAAATGAAAACTTTGGACCTCTGGTGCTAGTCCAAAGTTTTTTGGACCAAAGTGGAAATTTTGAACAAACCACAGGGACCATTTGTGCAGTTTAGTCTATAATCTATGGTAGATAACATATTCACCAATGTTCAAATCCTGTCAATACTCAACCCCTGTGGTCATAGAGGTTCGTCTACAGTTACTCCAGAGCTTAAGACATAGCCTCATGACTGCAGAGGAGGATTACACAGTGAACAAAAGTTGGTCCGGAACCCTCGTTAATGAAGTTTCCTTTCCAAAAATACAAATGTTTGTTAATAAAATTTTGTAACGTCCCAAATATATGACCCAAAATTTTCCTTTTTAATTTAATAAAAATTGTATTCCAAAAACATCATCAATACATTCCAAATAAAATAAGTGTATCAAACATCATCTCAAATCAGAGTAAATCACAAAATGCGGAACCGAATGGTGTGTGCCCTGCAATCAACCCAAACACTTCCCTTCAAACCAGAATATCTGAAACTTAAACTGAAAATCGTAAGCACAAAGCTTAGTGAGTTCCCCAAGATACCACATATCATACATATGTTGGGCCCCCACCCGGTCTCGAGTCCCACTCGGCCTAAGGCCCCGCCCGACATCGAGCCCTGCTCGGATTACAGATCTGTCAATCACCAGGCCCCGCCCGATACACCCATAATCATATAACCATATAATCATATAATCTTACTAGCACATGCAATAATCACAATGACCATATCATACCATACAGTCATCGAGCCCCAACCGACATCAGGCCTCGCCCGATAAGCATAAAAACACATACTGATAACTAGCATACAATATACTAATCAGGCCCCACCTGGCATCGGGCCTTGCGATAAGCATACAGCCACATAACACATGCAAGAGTCACGCAAACATCTAGCATCATAACATATAAACCATGGGCCGACATTGGTGCTTTCGACCCGCTATACTCAGTGAGGAGACTTACCTCGACTGCTGAATCCTGCAGATAATTCTCTGGTTGCTGACCCGCTAAAATCCCCACGCTATAATCACAAAACATAATCCAAATAGTTACTGGGATCCCAACTCATACTAAAATTCTGAACTAGGGTAAAAGACCCTTTTTACCCTCTCCATAACTTGGCCCAAGGCCAAGGCCCAATCC